TCAGAGTGCGCCCAGCACCTCTGCATCGCTCCTATGCCCTTGGCACAGCAGCCCAGTGGCCTTGGTACGCTTTCCAGCATTCCAGGACACTTGGGTAAAAAGAGGTAAAACTTGCCTGTTGTGTGGGTTGAACCTAGAGCCTTGTGGTAGTGCCCAGAGCGCTGCAACCACTCAGCTAGTGGGTGTTGAGGTATACTTCTACTTGTGTCTTGTTTATACCTTCACCACCTTCCTTATCCAGTATCTCGCGACTTTGCCCCTATTTCGCCTTTCTCTACTCTTTGGCTTACTATGGAGAACTCCGAGCTACTGTACAGTTCCCAAACCTTATTTCTTTTCACCTATATAACCCTGGTGTCCACAGAGCGTCTCCTTACTTGCTCACTGTTGGACACCAGGTCAGTACCCTTGTATTTCGTCTTTATCAATACCACTTGCTCACTGTTGGACACCAGTGCCTCTTCTGAGTTTGATACTTCACCACCGCCCTCGCCACCTGCTGTCTGCTCTGTTGGTTTCCTGGTCCTTTTGGACCTTCCATCTGCCGATGTTGACCCCTCTGCGGTCTACAACCCACCCATCAGGTGAGCATACCAGAGAGAAGTCGGTGATGACATACCTTTTGTGCCTTTCCAGCTTGCTCGTTGGTGTTTCCGTGTGGCTGTTTACGTTTGAGGTTGATCTGTGGTGGAAGGATCTCGTTAGTGGACATGGCAATGACAGAGGACGTCAAGACTCACCCCTTCAATGAGTGGAACATGGACGTGGTCCATTCGTTGCAATCCCTGAGACCGGCTGGAGCTAACACTTGATTCGCGTTTGTTTCTTAGAGTAGTTGGATGGAGGAGGGACAACGAGGATGGGCTAGTACTCACTGGTATAGCCGGAAGACTTCCTCCCACCACTCGTTGCCGCCATGATCGTCCACGTCGAGACCAGACGCGGTCTGATAGTCGAGGAGCCACGTCATCTTCTCCTCGTTGTGCACCCACGTCTCAAACATCACCGCCGGGTCTTCCTCCGTACAGAGCCACTTGATTGAGGGCGGGAGCTTGATGTCCCAGTCGCCGCCACACGCCGGTGTATGTGCGTAGATGTACACGAGCATCGCGAATGTATCATCCTAGAGAGCAGCAGCGGCACCGGAGATGCGTGTCAGCAGAGGCTGAGAAGGCAGGATGACTCACAAGTTCAGCTCTGAGGCCCCCCGACCAGATGTTGCTCAGGAACATCAGGAACAGCTGGACTTGCAAGCCCAGCTGGTGGTGCAACCGGTTGACGAAGTGCTGCGCCTCGGCGGCAGTGGTGGGTGCGGGGTGGCCAGCGACAGACAACCAAGGCGGGGAACGAGGGGGAGTGTCGGCGTCAGGGTGGATGGCAGGGATTTGAGGCATGTGTAGCGGTGGTAGTGGGTGGTGGGTTGATGGTGAAGGAGAGAGAGTCGCGTCAAAGTTGTGAGACGTGGCGTTGTTGACATGCTGTTTGTTATTTGTTTGGTTCTGGTGGCAAACACTGTTAACGTGGCTTTCGTTACCGGTACCTGTGTCATAGCCGGTAACCGGTAGAACTGACGCAGATTGGCCTTGGCCCTGGCCCCACGCGCACTCCCCTTGCTTAGATGCCGCCGGCGCCTGTGGCTGCAAGGTATACATGCTCTCCCCTTCTGATGAGTGTGCTTCATCCTTTCCTGCCATGTCCCTCCTCCAGGATCTTGAGCAACATGTCTCTGATTACATGTTCATGGTTTCACACAACAAGGGGATTTACTCCGGCACCAAATGCCACCCGGCGATCTCTGAGGACCTGCAGAAAGCAGCTGGAGGGGCAGTAGACATGATCAGTCAGGCGGATAAGTGCACAGGTGCGGATACCAGAGCCTATAACTATGATAGCTGATATATTACAGTCCTACTTGACGGTGATATCCTCAACACGCTTCCTCCGCCAAGTGGCAGTGCAATGCATCTGGATCGTGAACTGAAGTATGAAAGGTGCCGGCTCCAGTTGAGATGGGACCATATGAACCACCCCTGGTATGAAACCACTGTTGATCCAACCAACAGCCACCTCCTTGCCATCTGGCCATTCAAGCTATGCGACCTCTCTGGTCCCATTCTGCTATGGTACCTTCCTGATGTGGTTCCCAAGTGGCTACAGGCCCTTGTGTTTGGGTCCCTCCTTCCGGTGCATAGGCAGCTCAAGGCTGGCATCAGCGCCACCAATGCTGCCATGTTCCGGAACCACACCAGTTTATTCCTCCCACCCCTGGCTTCCGGAATCCAACCTGGATCAATCAACCTGTCACCAGGCTGGTACCAATCTGGTCATGACAAGGTGTGTGGTAAGACCTTTATACTACGCTGCTGACAATTCATTAGGACCCCACCCATTATCCCGAACCCTCTGCTAACTGGAGGGATCTACAGGGGGACCTCGCCAGCACCGTGGTAGATCTCTCCAGCCTTCATGCCCTTGCTTCTGGCATCCTCCGGCTCATCCATCCATGGCAATACATCCAGGGGAAGGCTTGTATGCAGTCACTCAGCAATGATATTAACACCAGGGGCCACATCAGACAGTGGGCTTTGGTCTTCAATGCCGCCACTATACTCTCTAACCGAGAGACAGTCCTCCATAGAGATGGTGGAGGTACATATCCTTGGTATGACATCTTATCCACCCATGGGCAGTACCGGTATGGCCAGCTATCCTTTCCCATGCTCAGGATTGACCTTGACTACTGACCAGGCACCATGGTGCCATTCTGTGGCAAGCTCTTGAGACATGGAGTGCTGCACTGCCAGGGCGACCGGGTATGTTGGGCTTATTATATGAAGGAGGGTGTACACAGGCGTGCCATGACTGGGTTGGAACCAGAATGGGTGTATGGGAATTACAGTGGGTACTACACTAGCATTCTATGATTATGATACAGTTGTTTGAGGCCATGTACATCTACCAGAGTCATCTAATCCCAAGTTGAAGTCAGTTAGGGCTGGTTTGTCCTTGAGGAGCTGTTGAAACACGGATTCTGACATGGACACCAGTCACTCTGCAAGTGCCTGTTGGTGCCAGGCATGGGCATGATGTCCAGCTGACTTTCCAGCATCAGTTTCACACAATTGCTTCTATTCCCCAGCCATGTGTCGCCATGTCCAGGGAATCCACAACATTTCATGGCACAGGAGGATCAGCTCCTCCATGGCCCTGTCAGTCCGGCACCTGGCCTTTGTCCAGTGCATCCATGCAACTGACAAGCATCAGTACAGAGTCTTTCCGGAGAGATACCAGACTCACATTCATTCAACAGAGTGTCCCCATCCGGACTAGCCAACATTGTATCAACATCCAGAGTCCACAGCCATGATAGGCCCTCATGGCGCAGTCCAGTGGCATCTGGCCGGAGCTCTGCTGTTGAGGCCTTGAGGTCCTGCCTTGTCATGACCTGGTACTTGGTGATGTTGTCCTTGGGGCCTTTGAGTTCCAGCATTGCCTTCCGGGCGTGGTTGTAATAGAGCCTCTGCAGATTGACCTTGGCACTCTGGACATCAAGCTTACTGCGAGCCAATCCGCCCTGGTGCTGACTGCCCCGGGATTCTCTGACCTCCTTGTGCCAGATAAGAGACTGATGGCCAATGTGGTGCCGGATCTTCTCCACTGCATTGTTGGCCTGGCCAGTCCGGAGTGTCATTTCAGCCTCTATAACTTTATCCAAGCCATGTTCAAGGCAAGTGCTGCACCCGAATGCAGATAGAAGACTGATTGTTCTTGTCTCTGGCTCCAACAACGCAGCATTGGTCTCTTCCTCGTCCTCTGGGTCATAAGGGATGCCATCAGTACCATCCTCGTCACCTTCTTCGGCGCTGTCCATGATACCAGAGGCAATATCAACCACATATGGCTTGTCAGTCACAGCGCCAATCAGCAAGTTACCCATGTACTTGGGTGCGTCCTCAAGGAACTCTTCGATTATACGAATAAGGCACTGGTGCAGTCACTCCCGAGTGTTGGTGTTGCCCCGCAGGGATTGTGTGGCCATCTTCTTGGACAGGATCTGTATTTTGATCCTGGCCGAAACACTCAGACCTATAGCAATCAAGGTAAAGTGGGCTTACTGGAGCTGTTCAATGTTGATTCCTCTGTTGATCCATTGCACTACCCCAGTCAATTCCTCTTTTGCCTGGGTCACTTCAAGGCCGGTGGTGGCCCTGGAAGGGAGCTTGCGGATATCAACCTTGAAGACAGCATCATTGGCAGTGACCTTGTCGGAGTGTCCGGCATAGGCAGTTACCAGTCGTTGCAACCACTCGCTGACCAATCCGGGATCACAAAGAACCATCACCTTTTGGAGATCAATGGTAGCCTTTGTGTACCAAACCAAAGCAAGCTTCCATCCATCCTTGACCGTTTTAACTATGACATAGCGTCAGGACACATTAAAGACGATAATGGCAGACATACTGGACTTGTAGTTCTTGCCTTTGTTCCAGGACTCCATCTGACCATTCAGACTGTTGACCCTCGCCCAGGCTGACATCCTCTTGATGCTTTGTGCACTTGGGTTCATCCGGCCCCAGTTGCTTTCAATGATCTCACCAGCAGCATGGCCAGCACCGATAATGTGATCTGGAGAGTAGCGGGATACACACTTCTCCTTGTGGCCATGAACATGAAATAACCTGATCGCTGGAATGATCTTGAGGTGTTCAGGAATGGTGAGGTGGGGTGAGTCTTTGATCCACTGCTGTAGTTTGACAAGGTATTGGCATACAATGTCATAGAACAGATACACCCTTTTGTGCTTCCGGAGCTGCTGAAGCACTATGCATAGCGCATAGTCAATGTAGGCTTGTCTGGGGCCGGTCAGTGTAAGATACAACAGGTCTAAGGGTGACATTACCTTTCCCCTAGCAGAAAGTCAACCACCAAGCTTGCAAACCACAGGCCATGCTGTGCACACACAAGGGCGGCTAGACCAGTGACGGCCAGGTGGTTCCGTCTCTGACCGGCTTGGGATACTGCTCGATGATTATTGCAAGTGGATTTCTGCCGGCTCTCACCATCAGAGACAGACAGACATTACAATGGTTCTTTGACTTACGTGAGGGGTTTCTTTGGCTGTGGCCAAGTGAGCCTGATAGTTTGCTTTGTTGACAGTGTACCCCAGGCTGTCAGTTAGTGGAACATTGTTCTCTGGCCTTCTCATCGTGTAGCTCTGTTGCTTAAAGTTGCCATCCACCACCGCCCACCCATAGTACAACCATTCCAGGCTGTGGTGATGTCAAGACAGGAGGGATATCAGTGGTTTAAGACTCACCCTTTACTCTCCCAGTCATTGTCCAGGTTAATACCTGGGTGGGGGCATGCCACACATGTGGTGGCCAATGATGCCCCTGCTGCTTCCATCTTGCTGTCTCCATACCCGTGTCCATGCTTCTTGCGCGTTTTCAGCCGGAGCTATTGTCAGCCGCATCTCATCAGTTCTCAGTACCGGTCCTGGTGGCCATGAGAGGATACTGAGACACAAAACACATATTACATACCGGGACTGAATCCAGAAATGCCTCATTGGTCATCCTGGTGAGGCGCCGGAAATAAGAGTGTGGGGCCTCTTTGCCTTCAAAGTTGCACACCAAGAGGTCATCCAGTACATCAAAGGTGAAGATGGTCTTGGGGTTGGTTTGTGAAGCCGGATACAGTCGCAAATCAAAGAGTTGTTTGTGTGGTAGCTTGTCAGTACAAGTGCACCATACAACTGGAAACTCATAGACACCGGACTTGTCGACCACAATGATCGTCTCAGCATGCCCTCCACCTTTGCTGGAGGTGGGTGGCTGCTTGCTGGCAGTAAACTCCTTGAATGGCCGTCCTAGGTTGAACTCGGCTGGAGCACAGTCAATATCCTCTGCAGGCTCAGATGAGCCTGTGACGCCGGTCTCTGGAGACGAGCATGCTGCTGCACTGTCGTTGATGTTGGAATCCGCCTCAGCGCCGTCCTCGATGTCCATAGGAGTGTCATCTGGAACATCCACCCACATATCCTCATTGCTGGTTGATGTGCCAGAAACCGGCTCTGGAGCCAGAGGACTTTCTTTTGGGCGTCCTTCAGTGGATCCTGACCTACCAGGACACTTGTTCCTGCCATGTCCTAGACACAGAGTAACGCCAAGTTGAGCTGTTGTTGACGACTCCCAGTGGTTGCTCTCCCAGAACTCCACCTGGTGAAAGGCTGATGCTGATGAGATGCCCGCATGCACTCAGTACAAGATGCCGGAACCCCAAAGCAGGAGAGACATCTCCATGTCACCGCTCCCTTCTGACAACTCCGGCATCCAGCCATGTCAGAGTTCGCCTCCATGTCAGGAAGCTTATGCAAATACAACTCCTGGAACTCCATCCACTTCTCCATGAAGTTGCATTGCAGCTACAGATGTTACCATGGTCAGTTCATCCCCGGATAGGCAGACCTGTATAATGTATGTGCTCTCACCCATCTGGCCTTTGTCTTCTTGACAGTCTCTGGGTCTCCCTCTGGCGGTGGAGGAGGCTCGAACATTGGGGGTGGGCTCTCCTCAACCCTAGCTTGCTTGGATGTAGAGCCTTTGCCCTCTGCCTCTGTCTTGCTGTTGGCCGGTGCTGACATGTTCTGTGTTACCGGAGTGTGAGTTTTCTTCCCTTTCTTCTTGGTCACCTTCGTGGTTAGTATCCTGAGGCCCCCAAGGAACTGGGCACCTTTCTTGAACACTTGTGGTGGCATGGTGGTTGATGGGAACAAGGTGAAATTTTACTAAAGGTTCCGAGGCCATGTTTCAATGAGCTAAATGGACATAATGCGGCCAGTGTACTGAATGCTCCATGATTCATATTACATCTCCATTTGTCTATCAGGCACCTGCCGGCAATCAGGTCTTGGGACTGAGCAATCGGGGCTATGATTGGCACATTCATTCCGGATCAGGTTGCCATCCACGATGCTTCGATCACTCTTCATTATATCACTTGTCATGCACTCCGGCTTTTCAATCAATATCAAATTCATTACTGCTTGGCATATTAAAGCCTCCATGGAGTTTTACTCCACATTGGGGTATCATTCATGCACTGCCACTGGGAGAAGTCCACTGGTGGGGCCAACACAACTATTTCAACAAGCAGGGCCGCCGGACCCTCTGTGCCTACCCACGCACCCATTTGTATCAATTCCGCACATTTGGAGAATGTTGCCATGGGCTTTGTATCAAAAAATAATATCATGAAGCTGCCATAGTCTCCAGACCCTTGTTTTCCGGCTTTTAAAGAGGCAACTCCACTTTTTGGTGCATTCTTAAGGCTATTGCAGTCCTTATAGACTAGGTATTCTGCAAATTCCATTGCTATGGGCTTGGCCATGATGAGGGATCTCAGGTGTTGCTGTCTACTGCACTTCTCATCTTCATTCAGGAGGTGTTGGTTTGTAGGACACTCTGAAGAATGTCATGTCCCTAATAACATGTATATATGGGATAGCTTGCCTGTGTATTGTAGAGTTGACCAGTCCTCATATCTTTGACAAAGGCTTGCAGATAACTTCCACTACACTTTGAAAGTCTACCTTGTTGTTCTCCTTGAAGAAACCCCCAAGAAACAATTGGTTGCAGTGCTTACCTTCAGGTAGATGAACATGCCTCTTTCTGATTCCACAGGTATGAGTTATCCTGTGGAACCAGTTCCACTTGCACAAACTCTGTCAATGTTTTTCAAACACTCCTGGGTCCTATGAAAGTATATGTATCTAACCTCCGCATTCATGGAAGAAACAGCCTCTATGGTTTTTATGGAGGAAACAACACTTTTATGTGTGTTGTACAGGTATTACAGCGGATATGATCTTGTACTCATTCAATACAACCAGAGAGTGTGTCAACCAAGACACCATTCTATTTAAGTCACTTGACCAGTGGTGATTGTTTTGTGCATTCATGCAACCCCACAAGCAATGTGTAACTCAGTTGTTTACTGTATCAAGCTGGTAAATGAGAGTGGTGTTTGACACTCCATCACATTCCCTGAGACACAACATGTCAGTTTTCTTCACAACACTGTCAACACTCACTGTGTATGTTAGTATGTCATCTTTCCCAGCTTTTGTACTAAATACTTGTTCAGGTTGGTTTCTCTCTCTTTGTCATGATGTTGCATGTTTGAATAATAGAATCACAACAACTATTAGGAATAATGTTGCAAATAACTTTGTAATTCCTCCTACCTCACTTTGCCAGGTTCAGAACAAAGTTAAATAATGCCTGTACCCTATTTGCACATGCTGTAGTGTTGGCCATTGAGATCATGATAGAGTGGGTGAACTCTGTTGATAGATTGAGTCTGAAAAGTCTGGCTAATCAAGGTTCAGAAATTGTGTTCCAAGAGGCCAAATGTGAGGTTGGGCTGTGTTTGTGGTGTAGTGCCATAGTATGGACTTGAACATCCATTGACCAGCATTAATCTAGTTATACTGCTAACACATTTGGATCTCAAGGACAGCTGCATAAAACAGGATAAATGCATGAACATGGTGTGGACAGGTGCAAATGCAGATGGAAGCACCACAGCCTGTGCAAGTTTTGAGATTATGGTTGACTTACTTATAAGATGACTCCATAATTCACAAATCAGTAGGTGATGATAATCAC